CAATATCCTTGCCCCATATAGCTTGTGCCGTGTCGATGTCTTCGACGGTCACAGGGCAATTTGCGATTTGATTGCTCATAATCGCCCATCGGAAATCTTTAATCGATGGATAGACGAGTTGCTTATATAGCAGCTTCGCCCTTGATGCGGCTTTAACTTGTCGTTTGCTGAAGCCTTCCTTATTTTCGGCGACAGTATTCACAAGTGCCTTCCCATTTTTCCTAGGGTCATGAAGTGTAATCCTTCACTGTTCATTTGTATACTACGTCCGGTAGCCGTCTAATGACTGTGTAGGTTCCTTTCGGAAGTCATAGACGATGTTGCAATTCTTGCGGACATTCTAACAGATAAGATGTTCGTGATTCCTCTTTCATCGACCATACTCTCTGTTTGTGCCAGCTAACTTGGCTGTTGTGCTGGACCTTCAGCTTGCCTCCGGTACTCTTCACTGTAATTGGACGATCGGCTTTCCTGATGTCGTAACCATGTCTTTATTACAGAATAGATCCAACGTGGACTGGTTTTCCAGTAGCTGGATCTCTCTCATATCTATGTCGTCCAATCCTTTTGTGTGGGCGACTATGCCTTGCTTAGTCGGGTTCTTCGTTCCGTCCGTCTTCGTTCTGTAACGTGTGGGGATAGTTATCAGTGCCTTTGGCAAAGTCTCCCTCAGGTTCTGTTTAGCTTGGTATTTTCGGCTGAACTATTTGTTAAGAAGATGTAACTATAGTACGTTCTTCAGCGTATGCGAGACTTTCTTCTTGTCATCGGCTCCAAGGTCACGTATGCTGTGTTTGGTAGTGCCGTATGCAGCAGGGATCTCTCTTGTACCTCTGTACTAGAATTTCATGCCAGTAGAAATAGCATGGAATACAGAGCCCACCCACTTTTTCAGTAGTATCTCAATAGACAACAGTAACAACTAAGAGAGCTTAGAGCAACTAACAGTGTCAACATCGTTCCAGGCCCCTTACATGATGGTGACTCTTACTGGTGTGAACTCTCTGGCTTACTTGCGATCGTCATCATTACCAATCTCATCTGTGACCTCTTTGGGATCACCGAAGGGAAGGTTAAGGTTGGATGTGATAGCTCATCTGACTTACTGGTGTTTGACAACGGGTTCGTCCCAGACCCCAACAACCAATCATTCGACTTGACCCATGCCCTATGAATGCACATCCAGCAAAGTCATGTGATATTTGAGACGGAACACATCGACGGGCATATGGATGACCACGCAGGTCACGAATTGAGCCCCCTTGAAGCTCTCAACGTGCACATGGACGCCAAAGCCAAAGAGTACTGGACTGCCATTGTCAATGCGAACCCATTTGGGTCTCCCTCCCATCACCCCATCGGAGGAGAAGGTTGGTCAATTTGGCACAATCAGCGGAAACTTGCATCACCACACCGACAGGCTTTGTTGGACCTAATCTGCCTCCCTGACATTGAAGAATACTGGACTTCCGACCACTATCTTGCCCCTGCAAGACTGTCCCCTGAAGCATTCCAGCTAGTCGACTGGGAATTATGCGGAAAGCTGATGAAAACTCTACTGTTGGGCAGGTGGTGTACCAAACACGCTTCTGAGAATTGTGGAGTGGGAATTACCCTTAAACATTGGCACAAACAGGACGATGACCATTGCCCACGATGCGGAGCACCAGAAGACACTACACATGTCCTACGATGTCATGCTGAGGGATCTGATGACGTATGGAGCGCTCACTTGCTAGAGCTAGCTTCAGCTTTTGGGGAGCTTCACCCCCCCTTGACCTTCACATAGCACTGATTGACCGCCTCAACAGTTGGCGCAATTCCCTCCCATTGCTCCCCAACCCCCAGTGGGATGCCAGCCTTACCCAACTTATTGTTTCCCAAGACTGGATCGGATGGAAGAACTTCTTGGAAGGTTTACCCTCCATTGGTTTTGTCCAGTATATGGACTCCTTCTACAGACGAGAGGGATACTCCATCACTGGTACCACTTGGACTTCCAAAATCCTTCGCAAAACCCACATGATGGCTTGGAGCTTATGGGAACATCAGAACAAGATTCTACACGACGACCAAAAGCCCCGTCAGAAACAAGCCCTCAACCTGTTACACCAAGCAATTGCCAATGAGTATATCAAAGGTACCGGGGGACTCCCCTCCTGTTATCACCACTACTTCAAACACTCACTCATTTCCCTTCTCACAAAACCAAAGTCCTACAAACAGTCCTGACTTCAAGGGCTACACACTGTCCGCGATAGAGAAACTAGACGTGCCCACCAAATCACTGAAGACAGACGGAATTCCAGACTCTATCAGTGGTGTGCCACAGGACGCCTCTAACTTCTCCATCACCCCTCCCTTGAACCACCTCAGAACCAACCCAATTCGTCCTTTCCAAGACACCAATTGCACATGGCCTTAGCGTGCCATACCCCAAGGAAGGCCTTAGCGTGCATTCCCAAAGAAACCACCATTGAATGGAACACCTTTAGGGGCCTTAGCGAGCCCATAACCCTTCTACTCGAACAAGGGGCCAGTAGAGCCCCCTGTCATTCTGAGTGAAGTAAAAGCAAGCCCTCGGCGCAGTAGAAAAATAACACCTACTAATCATTGTGACCAACCAACCGTCCTGTATTCCCTAAACAATCTGAGACGGTAAAGGTGGTTAGAAAACAAACTGCTCCTCCTGCCACAAAAGCAAACAGGGTCTCTATTGGAAGTGTCAATAATAAACTGGAGGCTAAGGAAGGCAACAAAGTAGAAAGTCTGTTGTTCTGCTCATCTGATGACGATGAAATGGAGTTCACGATGAAGTTTGTGTAGGTTTCTCAGAGTTTTTTTTGTTATATCTTTTGGATTATGATAAGTGCTTCTAAGCGAATGAGAACAAAGCCTGCAGTTTTTTTTTGCGGAGAAACAAGAACACACGCAACGCAATCATGCAAAGCATTTGTTCACATTCTTGAAGTCCATGTTGTAAAATTTGTTGAGTGGAGACATGTCCCCCCAATTTTTCAGTCCTTTGAACTCCTCCGAAATCTTCTTTTTGCTTTCGTGCTTTTATTGTTGTTGAATAGTCCTTCTCGTCATCGCTATTCCCGTCATCAGAGATATCGTCGTCAGATTCAACATTGTGAACCCTTAAAGTCGTAATCAACGAGACGTAGATGCTTTTCTATGTCTGTGCTGAGAGCCATGCCTTCACAATAATGTTCCTTCCAGAAGGACTTACGATACTGGATGTGAGGGTACACACGCATCATATTCGCCTTCAATTTCGAGGGCTTAAACTTTGAGACATCTCGAGGGAACAAAATGACCATAACACGGATGTGCCGGTTACCCTGAATATGGGTGATGTATCCAACCTCCCGAGAAAGTGACATTGGTCCAACTAGGGCGATTCCACTCTCGGTGTAGGTGAGCTGACCTGTCTGATCGTTTGGACCAATGTGGTGCCTGCCAAATTTACCATATCGGTCAAGTAGGAACTCCACAAACACTGCCCTCCCACCAAGATCCTGGATCTCTCGAAGGTATGATGGCTGAAGCTCGAGGTGACTGGCGCTGACTTCCTTCAAATCTGTGTCAAAGGTACTGTGGCGGTAGTTAGCTTGATCGAACACATGGTAATCCTCAAGACTTGCACTCTCCCCAAAAGCTTTCTGGAGGGCTGTTTCCACACACCAAGTACGTGCCTTCAAGACAGACTCTTGATCTCCCTGACCAAGCTTATTGTAATCGAACAGTCTGCATAGGCCGTAGCCATTTGGCTCTGTCCCCTCTTGGAATGCTCGCACCACCCGCAATGAACGCAAGGCTGGACTGTATGGCCAGGCTTTCTCTCCACAGAATCTGATCGTCTCTTTGTTGTAGTCATGGGGGACGGACAAGATTTGCTTTTTGGCAATTTTCAAAAGCACCTTCAATGGTTCTTCAGGCACCTGGACAACATGCAAGTCCATGCAATGAGTCAGCCACTTCGGGGGCTTGTTAGACAAGTACTGGTTTCCTGCCTGCTGCACCTCACCCCTATCATCTGTGTCTAGTGTGGTGTCAATCATGGCAGCTTTTTTTCCATTGCATCGCAGCACCACGCCTCCTGCTGACTCTTTGCCTCCTGTTGACTCTAAGTAGATCAGACGCCAAGAGACAATCATGGTGGATGAAGACTTGCTCGATTCCCAACCATGATGAGAAGGACGGATTCCCAACAGCTTCAAGATGGGCTTCACATTGGCATAGAGTGTATTCTCTGTAAGAGGGAAGGATCTTGTCTCCTTCACCAAATCACCAACAACCCAGTCACTGTACACGTCCTGGAATGTTTTGTATGGCAGGGTCGAAGACCTTCCAAGTTGGGTAGCGGTCTTCAACTGTGCCATCTTCCGAATAATCATCTCCCAGATATAGTTGCGAAGAACCGTCCGCCGGACGTGCACCCAATTGTAGGTTGCAACTGAGTGGATGTTCCCAGGTCTCCCATTATCAAAGAGAGAGTTCGAGTTGTGGTGCTTCAAGATGATGCTGGTATTGAGCATGCGATTGCCACGTCTTTTCAAGCTCTTGTGGTGTGGACTCTTCGATACAATGAAGCAGAGGGTGCTGTTGCAGATGGGCTCCAACCCGGGCATGAAACCGAAACTCTGGTTAGACAATGTGCCCTGCATTGGGTAGCCAATGATGTAGAATCTCCCGGAGAAGCTCTTGTTGAAGGATCCACAGAAAACATTCGACATCATGACGCACAACTGCTTGTCATGGCTTGGGCAGCACCAATGTGGATACCTTTGACCCTCGGTGCACCAATGATCCTTACTGTCTCGTGGAATTTTGAATGTGCTTGAGTTTCTGTAGAGTCCCTTCCAAGCTCTTGTAGGACAGAGCATATGGCACAGGTTCATTACCAGGTTTCCGAGCATATAAACCGCTGTGCATACCGTTGGCAATGACCAGAAAACATTGCTTGCAATAGCAAGCGCCACTGTTGCGGCACTCTACATACAGGAAGTACTCACCCAATTTTTTGGTTTTTCCGTTGCATTCTGGTACTGCATCTCTGTAGCCATCGAAGTGGTGGATCTGGTCCATCCCAGGTCTAGCATGTCCAGCTGGGGGTTTGTTGTCATGGATCGAGCATCTCTGACCTTTCGAGCTGTCCTGGAGTAATGCTGCCCACCTTTCATCCGCATCTTTTCAATGTCGGCTCTTATCAAACTGAGATTTTGCACTAGAGGTGGATTGTGCTTCTCTTGGTCTGTGACGGGTGAAAGAAACACACGACCGGGCCTTCGGGCAAGATTCTTTTTTTCCTCGCTTGGACTCTTAACAACATCCAAGAATAGCTTTGGAATCAAAGCGTGTCTGTACCTCAAAGCCTTGTAACCGCTATCTGTTGTGGCAACTCCTGACGCTCCCTCCATTGGTCTGAAGATTTCCTCACCGACTCCACAGTGCATTTCGTAGGCGATCTTCGCTTTCTTGGCTTCCTCAACGAGCTTCAATTGTCTGGCTTCGTCCTGATCCATCTTCTTTTTCTTTTGCTCAGCCCCGATCTTTTTCTCCTTCTCTGGCGGATCTGGAGAGCTGTTGGCTCTGGTTTGCCTCTTCTGTTCCTTCTTTGCGATACCATTAGCAGTCAAATCCCTGGTCAGCAAGTTCCATCTGCAAGGCACTGCTTCGGCATCGCAACCCTCGGGAACTGTCTCATTTTCAGTGAAAATCTTAGGCTCGGTGTATGAGATATTGAAACGTCCCTTTGGTTTCGCTGGTTTGGGTGGTGCTGGGGTTGGAGACGCTTCGAAGGTTACCGATAAAGTTGAGCTTAATAAGCCAATAATTGCCTCCACTCTACACCGAGCAAGAAACACATTTTACAGAAGTTACTGGATTAACAGTCAGCCCTACTATAGTGATTGCCCTCGGTCATCCACTGTAGAATGGTCTCGAGGCCTGTAGTTCGATCCCCGGTATGTGGATCTAGCTTCCACCTTGAGGAAACTCGCATTGATCAGTCAACATTACCTAGTTATTGTAGCGTGCACTAGTTAAATAATATCGTCCTCCTTACTGAATATACAAGTCTGCTGTTACTACACGGCAGGGCTCCAAGGTGGAATACGACAATTAAGCAAGGATGCCCCGTGAGTATTCTCCTGCTCCGTAAGCACGCACACTCGTTCCGGGGGAGTTAAGGTCTTCATTCCCCGTGACTCCATTCATTCATACCAAAAACCCACTCGTTAAGACTTTGGGGGGAGAAGTTCACCTCCGAACGGTGAGATCAGCCAAGTCTCACTCGTAAATAGTATATGACGTTCCGCTTTAGATAATACCAAGACTATGGGGGAGTTCACCTCTTCCCTTCGTGACATAGCTTGCCGGATATCTAGTGAGAACACGTCTAAGTCCTTCGGATGGCTCTCCAATCGCTCGTGAGTTAAGAGAAGAAACTAGTATTCCATCTTCGTACTAGTAACACACGGTCAGTTCACCCGATTCCTGCATATGTACCGTGCAGAACAGAATCGAATCGCTCGAAGAACACACTCTTCACCATGTACGTAAGTATCGCTCGTACGACCATTGCGTGCATGATCGATCCAACATAGTCCCGGAGCTTCTTCAAGGTTCCGGGGGAGTGAATCCTGCACAGGGCAAGAACACGTACCTCCACTGACGTACGTACCTCCACTGACGTACGTACCTCCACTGACATACTCGAGAACCCGAAGAACCTTCCGTGACACTCGAAGGCTAGCGCTTGAGTCCAGGCAGCGCTAAAGCGTAAATAAATACCTGCATGCATACCAGTACATGGCATTAGTGCTGGGTGATTCCAACTGCTCGAACTCGAGACTCACCATCTCGAGAACCTGCAGAGCTGTTCGGCAATGGGGGAGCGATAAAGTTGAGCTTAATAAGCCAATAATTGCCTCCACTCTACACCGAGCAAGAAACACATTTTACAGAAGTTACTGGTTACGAATTGGGGAATACCAGGGAGAAATACTTGGCCGTGCATGAGCACTTTGTGGTGGTCTAGGAGCTCCTGGTGGATGAATTGTTTTTCTACCACTTTGGTTCTTTTTGGCATTCTGCTGCCCTTTGTCCCCATGCTATCGTCGCTATCAATCATGTTTGCCTTCTGGGTGTTTGTTAAGGTCTTATCAACATCAGCATCCCTCGGCCCTCTGGCTTGTGACTATTTGCTTCTTTTCTCGCTTCCTTGGCTGAATTTGTATCAGAAAGTGGTTCCAAGTACAAATCAGCATCATCCTCCTTCCACTCGGGCCAGCTATCAATTGACTGTAAATCGGAAAGGTCTGACATAATGGAACTTGCTTTGCCAACGCCCTTGCATCCAGTGAGAACGATGTTGGATGATGGTTTGTCATTGGAATCCTTATCTTTCATATTGGTGGACCCACTTTCCCCAGCAATTTTGTCGGGAGAGGCTTCCGCTACCATCTTGTCAGTGTCATTGGTGAGTGAATCAACCTTGCTTCTCTCAATAGAGTCTGCATCTTCATCAATGCTTGGAGAACGACGCTTGCTGGCATTGTCTGAAGCATGCAAGTAGACAAGCAACAGTTGGAGTTTAGTTAGCTGTGCATGGTATGTTCATTTTTGGTTTAGTGTCCTTGATTGTACTTACCCATGTTTTCCTGGAACGAATTAGGATCCATGACCAGTCTCCTGGGTGGAGCTTGGTCAGTTCCCTTATTGTGGCTATAAAGTGGACACGACTTTGTTGGACTCTGCATTTGTGACAACTGATACAGTGGCGAGAGAGAGATGTTCAAATGCAGCATACATCTCCCATGGTAGAAGGAGTTTCTGTTTGGTTGTATGTGAAGTAACGACGCAAGGTAGCTGGGGTTTCGTTGAAATGGATCGTGTTGATTCCATCTGTCATGCATGCGAGCGTGTCTTATTTGCATGTGTTCCACGCCCCTGACTGTGTTTGATTCCTACTGGTGCCAAGCTGACTGGTTTTGTAATTTGAATATGCTTTGGTTTTCTTTGGGTCGACATGCCTCAGTTTCTCATCTCGCTGGTGATTCTGTTTGTGTAGCAATCGCTAGACTGGTTTTTGACCTGCTATTTTTGTTAACGGAACTCCATGTCAAAGCAAAGCAAAGTCAAAATCCAGATCAAAATATAGCGATCCAACACATCCTTTACCATCACACTCCAAAAAACAAAAAAAAACTGCTTTTACTAATACCTGTCTGATCATGTTACATTCTGCCGACTGAGAGCCATTTTGCTATTTTCAAAATGACATGTTATTTAGGGCGACAGCATCCTTAGTTTTTGTGAGGCCAGGTGCTGTGTTTTAAGGTTATGGGTTCTATGGTCGGCACGTTTCACATTTCTAGCTTCTAGCTTGAAGGGAACCAAGTTAAAAAGACTCAACTCAACTCCACCCCCACCACTTTTTTCAAATGCAGGACTCGACTGAAAATGGACTGTGTGACTCAATCAAACTGCAAAATCTCGTTCCATGTCCCAATGTACTGGACCTCGCTGGTGTCGCTGTCATCACTGCTGCTGAGGTGAAACGACGATTCAATGGGAGACCGTCTTGCTCGTTTAGGCTGTCCTGGATGGCCACTGATTGGCACAGTAGATCTCCTGCTTGCTAGTTTTGCACGCTTGCGTGGCTTCTCAAAGGACTTGCTGCCGTTTGTGATCTCTCTACCTTGACCAAAGGCAATCAAGCTGCAGGAAGCTGCAGAAACTGAAATTGTGAGTCCCCTGATTGGTTTTTTTTGCTCGTTTCTCTGTTAAGAGGTACTCTTATCGCTCACCTTCACTGCAAGCCACCAAACTGCTGGTAGATGAGGTAGCCACCAAACAACAGCTGGTGGATGAGATAGTTGGAGATGCTGACAAAGTGCCACACCACCACAAGCCATTGTCTCTGTTCTTGAGCCACCTCATCCCATACATATCTCGTTTATGGTAATCGGGTCTAGCTTTACTCTTATTGGGATGCCTGAGGAGCTCTTCATGGTAGATTCGGTCTTCTCTGGACAACTGACCACTTACAAAGCTACCTCTTTCTATTCCTAGCTAGATTGTCTCGGGACATTCATAGCCAATAGCTTTCCAGGCTTTCAACAAGGGCTACTGGCTGGAAATACTGATGCCAAACCAAATGGGCATTGAGGTCCTCGTACCCCTCACGGGTACCAAGCAACAACCAAACTCTGTCATGCTTACCGAAGTCTCTACCAGGATGGCTGAGCTTCAAGCGATTGAACAGTATCTGACAAGATGTTAGACAAAGATGCTTGGGTTTGTTGGTCTCAGCTCTTCTCACTATTGGAGACCACTTTCTCTTGCTGGGCGACGACTCGCTAAGTAGTGCCATGGTGCAGCCGCCTGTTGACATGATTACTGGGGGGCCAATGAGTGCCTACTATTGCCCCTGCTCAGTCAGGATGGATCTGAGAGTGGCTGAGCCGAGACGAGAAATGGTTTGCCTCCGGCTGGGTGGCAATCAAATTGGTCTGGTCTCAGTCAGGGATGGATCTGAGAGTGGCTGAGCCGAGACGAGAAATGGTTTGCCTCCGGCTGGGTGGCAATCAATTGGTCTGGTCTCAGTCAGGGATGGATCTGAGAGTAGCTGAGCCGAGACGAGAAATGGTTTGCCTCCGGCTGGGTGGCAATCAAATTGGTCTGGTCTCAGTCAGGGATGGATCTGAGAGTGGCTAAGCCGAGACGAGAAATGGTTTGCCTCCGGCTGGTGGGTGGCAATCAAATTGGTCTAGACTCAGTCAGGGATGGATCTGAGAGTGGCTTCGCTTTTTGTGTGTGCACGAACTGGTAAGGATATTTCGTGCCGAACACCAACTCAACTCACAGGATAATTCGTGCCGAACGTCAACTCACAGGATATGTGGTGCCGAACGACCACTCACAGGATAATTCGTTTCCAACGTCCACTCACAGGATAATTTGTTTCCAACGTCCACTCACAGGATAATTCGTGCCCAACCCACACTCAGAAAAAATTTGTGCCCAACCCACACTCACAGGATAATCCGTGCCAAGCACACACTCACAGGATAATTCGTGCCAAGCGCACACTCACAGGATAATTTGTGCTCAACCCACACTCACTGGATCTCGACTTTTGGTACGAAATATGGATCCCCACTCGCTCCACATTCGGTACGAAATATGGATCCCATCATTATTTTTGTCATTGACAGCCACATCCCCTTTGAACTGAGCTCAATTACTGGTGATATCAACATGGCAAGAACAAAACAAAGGGCTACAAGAAACACCACAGGAGAGGTCTCTCGCAGAGACCATGCGCAAGCTGAAGAAGGCTCCAATGTCAAGACTTCTCGAAAGCGGCTTGCTTTAGGACCCAAGAGTGGTTGCACCAAGAAGCCCCGCAGGTACAGACCGGGCACTGTGGCTTTGAAGGAGATCAGGAAGTACCAGGGGAGTACAGATCTCCTCCTTCGTAAAGCCCCTTTCCAACGACTTGTTCGTGAGATTGTACAGGATATTGGCGATGGCAACAGGGATTCGAATGGCCAAATGAAGGCAAAGTACCTGGATCTACGGTACCAAAGCAAAGCTATGCTAGCATTGCAGGAGTCTGGAGAAAGCTACCTTATTGGGTTGTTTGAGGATGCCAACCTATGCGCCATCCATGCCAAGTGAGTGACCATCATGCCCAAGGACATCCAGCTCTCCAGACGCATTCGTGGTGAGCGTGCCTAATTTTGTAGTGATTGCTAATCGTAATATTAACCAAAAGTTTCTCCCATGTTGTTTACTGCTGCATCCCCAGTTGGAATCGTCGGATCTCTCCATATGAAGAGCCATGACTAGACTATGTGTGTACTGGTACCAGACGATACCTAGGTTGACCATGATCTGTTCATTGAATACGAAGGCCAGGGAGATCTCTAGCTGGAGTCCATTTTTAAATGGTTACGAATCTAACTCCCGCGAGAGTGGATTTTTTGGTGGGTACAAAATATGTCAATCCACCTCCCACGAGAGTGGATTTTTTGGTGGGTACGAAATATGTCAATCCAACTCCCACGAGAGTGGAATTTTCGTGGTCACGAAATATGGATTTTTTGGTGGTAACGAAATATGATTATATATAAAAATTACTAGTTTTAGGCAGACTACCTATCTGGTCCGGAGGACCTTTGTCAACGCTGGTACGAATCGAGCCCGAGGGCCCAAGCAACTGAGTCGTTTATGTGAGTGGTTGCATGACATGAGGGGAATAGCATTCAGTTTCATTGAAACAAGAGGATGTACCTCATAGAAGCATGATTGTAACTAGCTGACTAGTCTACGCTCGTCTTTCACCTCCGTCCCCAACTAGAGGGGACAAGTCCTTGTTTCTCCACTATCACAGTGAGTGCCTCCTTGTGGAGTGACCGGGGGCGCAGTGGCCTAATCCGGGTTAAGACTAAAATGTGTGATCATCAGTTGCTGTTGCCTTTGGAGCTGTCGATTCGCTGGAGCAAGTTGCTTCTGGAACTCTGTTCGGGCCAGGGTGGTAGATTCAAGCCATCGTTTTGTCTTTTCGATAGTGAATGTAAGGGTGTGGGTTTTGGTGTCCGGGTGGACTCTCCAGTGGTCGGCGGGGAGTAGGCCTATGGTGCCTTGGGTGTACTGTTGTCAAACCCGTTCGCGTAGAGTGTCCAGTTGGGATAGTTGGGTGGGAGTTAGGGTGGTGCCATGGACGGATTCATTTCGGTTGGTCCAAAGGTTGAAGTGGAGGCTCCAGATCTGTTTGATGAAGGCGCTGGTCCAAGCCAGGCCATCTCCATTCTTCTTGAGTCGTTGCAGGTGGTGTGTTTGGAGGTGTTGGAAGGATTGGGAAACTCTGCCAAGTAACAAGTTCCACCAGCCTGGATTGGTTTGGTCAGCGATGGCTTGGCGGATGGAGGTCGGCAATCGGGCGGTGTTGGGGGCAGTGGTGTCTCCTTGGTGCCACCGGTTGAGGTGGAGGAGAATCTGTGTTCGGAGTCTGGGGTGGGTGTGCCTCTTCTTCATCCACTTGTTCAGCTCTGTCATTTACTTTTTCCATTCCGCTGTAGCAGTGATGGAGTCACAGAGAAGCACGTGGAGAGTGTCTTCATCTTCGAGGCCGCATCGCGGACAGTTGCTGTGGTCTTGCCACTTTCTTCGAAGTTGCATATGGCCAACCCCACAGTGTCCTGAGGCATGTTTGGTGTGTGCCAAGGGGGCTGCTTCGAAATGCCCGGCCATGGGCAGTCCAGTTGGTTCGTTGCCACTTGTCGTTCCATGCTTCGGTGGAGTAGTGCACATCGCGAACCCGTTCTTCGCGTTGCTTCCAATGGGCTTTGATGGAAGCTTCTCCCAGGAGTGTGTGGACTTCTCTGAGGTGGAATCGCGCGAGTTTCGCACCCTTGAACTTTACCGTCACGCGTTTGTGGGTGAACGGGATGTTGGGACAAGGGGTGAACTGGTGGAGATCCCAGTGTGCTTTTGCCCTGGTGTCCATCTCGATATTCAGAATAGCCCATCGGTCCAGAAAACCATGGTGAAGGTCGTTGCCACGCAGCAGCTCAGGTCGGAGTCGCCGAGTGGGTCTCTTGTCGTCATCCTGGTGCCCTTTCACCCAACGGTACAGAACTTGCACTTTGCGCTTCCGTAGTTGCTTCAGAACTGCTCTGCCTTCCACGTGCAGGTCATAGTCCCTTTTGTTGCTGGTTGGCTCAAAGATGGATTCCAGTGCTTTCAGTGC